ATGTTAAAATATCTTTCTTTGTATTTGCTTGACTGTCAAGATTACTAACTAAATGAATAATTTGTTGTGTTACTTTAATTCCTTTTGAAACATCGGCTTCAACTATGATCGGTGTCTTCACAAATTTGCTTTTTCACAGGTAATTTGTAGCCCGATTTGTGATGCCTGTTTTGTTCATCATCTGTTTTTTTTTTGCGTGTCGTTTTTGTTCTTAATTAGCGGAACAATATAACCAAAATCAAGATCTTCCAATTGTATGTTCTACATCCAGTCAATGCCTTTATTTTCCTAAGCTAGATTTTTCCCCCATTGTCCAGCGAATAGCTACACCAAATAACTGCAAAACTCTTAGCTGCTTGTTCTCCTTCTTGTGTTCGTGTGTGTTTGTGTGTGTATATATATATATATATATATATATATATATTAGAGCTGGAGCGAATCGGTCCAGAAAGCAATGGCAAACTACTGGACGTAAATTTGCCTAGAAAAACCATACAACAGCCAGGGGCTGTTGGGGGTTGGTTCTGCGACGTCCTGTAAAGGATACACAACAAACTCAAACCGAATCGGTGATTATCACTATTCGTCCGAATACGAATAACGGGAACAACTTTTCGGTCGAATACGAATAGTGTATAGTGTATAGAATGGATTTATAAAACATTCATAATGTCAAATTTACACTAAACCTTTATTTTACAAAACTTAGTACAAAATAGTCATCTTCTTCTTTAGCATTCCGAGCCCTTGACGTTCAGTGTTGCAGATATAACCCGCCTTCATTCATCTCTCTGGTTGGCCTTCTCTTTCCAGTTGGTGGCACCAACTGTTTGCAGGTCTGGTTGGACATTATCTCTCCATCGTCTTCTTGGTCTGCCTAGTGGTCTACGACCGTTCTTCTCCCTTGTGTATACAGCTTTTACTTCTGTTTCATCTGACAATCTTTCAATATGCCCCAACCATTTCAGACTATCAAGTCTCATATTGCCAGCGATCATTGGTGATTCAAACAGATTATGAATTTCGTTGTTACTTCTCACACTCCATTCCCCGCTGTTTACATTTTTCAAATATCTGAAATAAGGCTTCATTTCTTTTGGTTGTGCTGCAAGTTTCAGAGCCATATTAAACGACTGATCTTATTAACGTTTTATATATTTTGGTCTTGGTATTGCGAGACAGACACTTTGGCCTTAGGGGATGTTGAATGACATAGTATACTTTATTTGCAGACTGTATTTCTTCTCTCATCATGGTAGAGCAGTTGAAGTTTTCACTTAAGTACTTATATGTTTCCGTTCGTTTGATTTTCAAATTATCGACCTGTATGTTGCCAAAGTTTATACTTTTTCCCTGTCTAGTTAATATTCGTACAGAATAGTAAACATTAAAAAAAAATGCTTCAGTCAGTCTGTGGTAGCTAATAACTAGGAATAAAAGTATTCTTATTATTATAACAAGTAACTAAACTTGTAAATTGTCACTGACAGCTTAATTAATGCATTTTTTTTTTCTTTTTTCGATCACCGGCTGTGAATTCCAGTGGAAGGTCCCGGTTAATCGTCCGCTTTGACTTTTGGCTTTCACCTGGACCTGATTTTTGCGTGTACAACCGTTTTTCATTTCCCTGCCTCATGGGCAGCTGTACTCCGACTTCGAAGGAAGACGTCAGGCCTATTTCTAGGGTGACTGTGGCCATTGTTTTGTTTGGGTCGAGACGTTGCCTGATTTGTGTGGTGTCCACTTTGTCTCCTTCGCCGCAGGTATTGCCACCGGAGTACCCCTTTGGGGCAGCCCCATGTGGAGCAGTTAGCCCTCAAGGGAAGGCAGGGGCAGATCATGGGCATTCCCCGCCATCCAAGGAGGCTTCCATGCATGCAGAGCCGGCACATGGCGCTCTGGTTCTGTTCTCACCCAAGGAATCGTCACGTCCTGCACATGCCTGCTTAACCTCACAACCGTATCAGGCCTCCCGCTCGACAGGGGCTGCGCCCTCTGGAAGTCAGCGGGGAGCAGCCCGTGGGTTTTGGACTTTTGTGACCACACAGATAGGTACATTCTTTCTTTCTTCGCACGTTAGATTTCTTTGACGAGCCGTTAGCCCGACAGAATTTTACATCCTGCATCAGGCATATCGTTATCAGTTTTGTCCCAACACTCGGGCGAGTGGGGTCTTTGGGTGTGGACATTTGGTCTTTTTCAGTTCAATACAAATTTTGATGGTCAGATATGGATCCGTATGATCTAGTATTGTCGGACATTTAGGCTTAGCCATCTGATGGATGGTTGCTGTTGTGGTGTACCTCAGCGCGGTGACGACGACACTGAGGGTTAACCGAGGATGTACATGAATGGCCAGCCTATGGATGGTTGCTGTTGTGGTGTACCTCAGCGCGGTGACGACGACACTGAGGGTTAACCGAGGATGTACAAGGATGGCCAGCCTATGGATGGTTGCTGTTGTGGTGTACCTCAGCGCGGTGACGACGACACTGAGGGTTAACAGAGGATGTGCAATGGACAATGTTCTCTTTACTCCGCAGTCTTTTAACCAAGGGTTGTAATTTTGGCTGTACGTTTGGCAAACCTACTCATGTTCCTAATGAGTTTTGATAACATTTTTCACCCAAGCGTTTGGGGGCGGGCTGATGAGAGCCACAAGGACACATCACCTCTGGGGGCCGCCGAACTCTGAGATCCCTGACAGCTCTGTTAATGCTCATTTGAGACATAATCCGTGGCGCACGACGAGGACGTGCTGTAGGGGTCTTGCGTGAGGTTTCGTACAACCAGGATAGTAAAGGACTGGCGCCCGAGTGACTTACGGAGTATCTCCTTATACACATCATGTTGGACTTAACTTCCCCTCACGCCTGTGACATAAATCACCGCGCCACCTAGTCTCTAATAACCGTATGCAGGTTTAAGCATACATCTATAAGAGTGTTAAAGCAGTTATTAGCATTTGTTTTCATTATACAATAAATATATAATGAGATCTATCATGGATATGCCAGGAGTTGTGGTTGGTGATTACAACATAAACAACCTACGTTATGCTGATGACATCGTCTTGATAGCGACAAGTCAGAAAGAACTACGCGGACTGATAGATACGGTTGTGGTAGAAATTGATAAAATGGGCCTCAGATTGAATAATGGGAAAACAGAAGTAATGGTGATATCCATGAAAAGAATACTGCCTTAATGTATAATAAAAGTCAAAAGCTTTATGACAAATACAGAAGTTTACTTATCTGGACTTAAGGATAATATCCAAAGGAAGATGCATCACAGAGATAAAGAACATAACAAGACAGACCAAAACTGTTTTTTTATAAAATAAAGAAAATCTTATGCAATAAATCTGTGTCATCGGAGGTTAGGAAAAGAATTCTCGCATGCTATATGAGCCAGTTTTAACATGTGACTGTGAATCCTGGACAATTTGTAAACAAGCTGTACAACTTCTTGAGGCCTGGGAGATGTGGCTTTATTGAAGAATCCTTAGAATTCGTTGGACAGCTAAAAAAAGCAACCCAGATTTTTTAAAGAGGCAAGGGCCCGAAGACAACTTATTACAAACATCAGAAAGAGACATAGTTTTTTGGTCATGTTATGAGAAGAGGGAAAATGGAACGTGCAGTGACCACCGGAAAGATATCTGGAAAGAGGGACAGAGGAAGACAGATTGAAAAGATTCTTGACAGTCTTTTGTCATGACATCGAGGGTTGTTTAAACACGAACTGAAACACGCAGTTCTGGATCACAGACTGTGGAGAGGCATGATCGCACATGCCAGTTGGCAAGGCACTTGAAGATGATGATGATTAACATCATTATCACAATACAGCAGGTCTTTTGCAGAATCTCGCTGTCATCTCACCACACCCTATGTCTCTTGCTAACTATCCCACCTGGTGAAGTTTCAGGCTTACGGTGTCCTTAATATCCTCTTTATACTGTTGTGCTGGTCAAACCATTTCTTCCTGGCAGAACATGAGCATTCCCTGCTATCAAAAGAGACTTCAATAAATGCAGAGCCAAGACATAGTGCTCCAGTACTGGGCTCACCCAAGGAATCGTCACATCCTGCTCATAACTGTTTAATCTCACTTCTGCACACTGAACCTCGCAATCATCAGAAGCTAGTCCCCTGTGTGGATGGGTGCTGGGGCCCCATTGTGGGGGGAAAACAAGAATAGACCCACTCTACCCAAAAGCATGTCCAAGAGTCGACTAACTGGGAGCTTCCCTCGAAATCAAAGTGCATCTGCATGACAGGCAAGGAACCAACAGTCTGCATACATATCAGTCATATCTATAAAATACCGAATAGTTATCAGGTCCACTATTCTGCCCCGAAGCGAATACGAAGCGAATATTCCGTACAGCTCTAATATATATATATATATATATATATATATATATATATATATATATATATATATATATATATATATATATATATATATATATATATGAGTGTTTGCGTGTGTGTGTGAGTATGTCTGCCTGTATGTAGCCAGAGACAGGGGGGCGGGTTTTATTAAAAATAAACCGAAGTTTTGTTATCGTGCACATTTCGACTAGTTATATCATTTTTGGGGTCAGCGTAGTATGATGAGGTAAAGAATAGTTCACTTCTTCATCGTTTCTTTGTCGTCCCAGGTAAAAGGTAGATGTTCTTTAAATTCCGATGGAAAGTTATGGCTGTTCGTCCACCTCAGAACTTTAGTCTTGTTTCAGAACCTGAATGTTGCGTACACATCATTTTTTACAGATCTGACTTATTTATATGCAGACTGTTGGTTCCTTATCTCTCAGGCAAATGTGCTCCAACTTCGAAGGAAGTCCCCAGGTAATTCATTCTTACGACATGCTTACTGGGGAGGCAGTGGGTCTGTTCTTGTTTTCCCCACACCGGGGGCCTGGAACCCACGCCGAGACTATCGAAGTTTAGGAAGCGCCAATAAAATACTTACTGCAAATGTGGTACTGAATAGGGTGTCCGATCTCTCTGTCGTCTGTTCTTAAACCAGTTGCTGACCTGTGTCAGCGTTAATCCCGTTAGTTTCGCCAGGCATCTCTTCTCATCGGGTGTTGGGTACCTGTTCTCTTTGTAACAATTCTTCAAAGCCTGTCTAGACTTCTCCTTAAAACAGTACACTGTTTCTTCACCATCCCAGATAGTCTCAGGCAAAGGATACTTTCTTCTAAGTCGGTACTTTTCCACAGCCCCAAGCGGTCTTCCCCTGGCAATCTGGGCTTCGTTATAATGAGCTCTAAACCACAGTTGCTGGAGAAATGTGTGGTTGGAGGTGTTGAATGTATTGTTCTGCAGTAAAGAATACACTTCTTTGTAATCTCCGTTGCGGAATGCTACAGTGGCTCTAGCTTTCAATACAGACTCGCTGCTTTTGAGGCTTTCGCCGGGTGGAAGGGACCAGAGAAATATAGCTAACTTTTCTACATCATTTCTTTGTTGTAAAGCTACACATACACATTCAATCTGTTCCGGTGAGAATGTTAAACTCTTGTCTGCAAGTTTACCTAATTTGTCAGAAAATGACTGCGACAATGATTGCAATTCCATGTCTTTATTGGTGTTAACGTTCTCGTTGTGAACTGAATTATTTTCGTTGATATCCTGATAATTATAATAATCGCAATTCGATATCAAAGAACTATTTTCCACATTCCCAGTTGTGCTTTTGCTGCTGCAGAATTTTGTTGAAATCAAAGACAAAGAGCGTTGCTCATCACTAAGACAGGATGAAACCTTGTTAAAACTCGTGACAATCCGAAATACTGGACACACTTTTTCTTGCCAAGTAAACGTTTCACTTATTTAAAAGTGTGAACATTTTTCTTATAACCATTTGGAATTTTTCATTCACCAATCTGGAAAAAATTCATCTGTTAATTGCAATATCTGAGCTATTTATTAAACAATTCACAATGTTAATTGCAATATTTGAGCTATTTATTAAACAATTCACCATGGTAATTGCAATGTTTGAATTATTTATTTAACAATTCACAATGTTAATTGCAACATCTGAACTATTTATTAAACAATTCACAATGTTAATTGCAACATCTGAACTATTTATTTTAAAATGCACCATGTTAATTGCAATATTTAAACTATTTATTAAACAATTCACCACGTTAATTGCAACATTTGAACAATTTATTTATTAAACAGGAATACGATTTACCTTGCCGTATTTAACTTTAATTGTAGAATAATTAATTTAGCAAATGAAAACGGCTGGCTTAAATAATACCCATACGCTTCGTAAACTTATGCTGCCTCGATATAACTTTATTAAAGGACTGAGTGGGATTTCTGGGATTTTCTCCTACTGAAGTATCATTCGAACGGTGGCTCTTCGAGTCACTGCCTATTGATTTTCAGAGTGCAGTCCTTAGTGGCGGTAAGGAGAATTTTATTTAAATTTTATTAAAGGAGTAAAATAATCATTACCCCTACTGAGGCCGATACTCAGTGTTTTAATTATAGTTTCTTTAGCGGCTGTTCGGGGTATACGGAATTTGCCGTGTTGGTGTGCAATTCTAGGGATAATTTTATCATCTCAGAGTGGTCAAACCTGTATACACAAGGGAGATGAATGGTCGTAGACTACGAGGCAGACCAAGAAGACAATAGAAAGATCATGTCCAGGCAGACCTGTAAACACTTGGTGTCACCAACTGGAAAGAGAAGGCCAACCAGAGAGATGAATGGAGGCGTGTGATATCTGCAGCAGTGAACCTCAAGGGCTCGGAATGCTGAAGAAGGTCAACAAGAGAGATGAATGGAGGCGGGTGATATCTGCAGCAGTGAACCTCAAGGGCTCGGAATGCTGAAGAAGGTCAACAAGAGAGATGAATGGAGGCAGGTAATATCTGCAGCAGTGAACCTCAAGGGCTCGGAATGCTGAAGAAGGTCAACAAGAGAGATGAATGGAGGAGGGTGTTATCTGCAGCAGTGAACCTCAAGGGCTCGAAATGCTAAAAGAAATGAAGAAGAGAAGTGGTCAAACCTAGCGAAAGCGTCTGGATCAGAAAAGGAAATCGTCAGTTACGGAAAGAAAACTTGAACTTTAATTAATCCAACACCCAGTCTGTAATTAACAATATAATAATTTTTTTTAGTTGTTTAAAAATAACTCAACATGTAGACTTTAAATAACAATAGCATAATTCATTAAGTTGTCATTTATCAAATTCTTCTTCCGCCTTTATAGCTCCCAACTGAGCATAGACCTTCAACCAACTCACGGCAAGTTGGTCTTTGCTGTGCTATCTAACGCAGCTCTCCCTATGTCCTCCCCATCTTTCTAACTTCATTCTCCAGCTTCTTTCTCCGTGTGTGTGTTTTTTTAATCAGTCATCATCATCAGTTCTCGTTATGCCTAGTGGCAGATGAGGCTTCAGAGAGGACTTTCTATGCTTTCCAGTCCTGTGCAATCTTCAATGCAGTTTTCCATGTCAAAGATGCCACACTCAGGTCACTTTCCATCGTTCGTCTCCATGTTGTTTTTGGGCGCCCCTTTTTTCTCTTTCCCTCTGGTGTCCATGTGAGAGCTGTTTTGGCAGGTATATCAGGATTCATTCTCATAACGTGGCCAAGCCATTTCCATCTTCTCTTGCTTATCATACTGTCTAGAGTTTCTTGGTTTGTGACTTGAAGTAGTTTAGTGTTTGAGATTGTATCTGGCCAGAAAATTTTAACAATTCTACGTAGACATGTGTGATGGAAGATGGACAGCTTGTGTACATCCTTTCTGGGCATTCTGCTCCATAAAGAAGAACTGGCAAAATGATGCTCTTGTAGAGTCGGAGTTTTGTTCCTCTGCAGTAACTGTTGGATTTCCAGATTTGCCTCATCCTTCCAAAAGCAGCTCTAGCTTTGTTCAGGCGGTATTGTATGTCTTCCTCTGTCCATTCTAGTAGGGACATCACACTGCCAAGATATGTGAAATGTTCTACATTTTCAAGTGATTGGTTACTTATGGTCAATGGTTGTAGGTTTGGACTGTTTGTCATGATCTTAGTTTTCTTTGTATTTATTCTCAGTCCCACCATTTCTGCTGTGCTGTGTAGTCTGTTACTTTTTTCTTGTATATGTTCATGTTTATCTGATAGGAGTGCTATATCTTCTGCAAAATCAAGGTCCTCAAGCATGGTGAATGGAGTCCATCTTTTGCCTCTTAATGTCCTGTCTACTGTGTTCTTTAGTATCTAATCAATCACAGGGTTGAAAAGGAGAGATGACATAACACATCCCTGTCTTTCACCCGTCTTTACTTGGAAAGATGTATTGTAATTTTTTATACTGCAGTAAAAGTCTTTATAGAAGAGAGCAATTATGTTGACTATTCTTTCTGGAGTTCCATAATGTCGCAAAATTTTCCATAGACTGCCTTTGTGGACGCTGTCAAAAGCTTTCTCAGTCCACAAAATTAATATATATACTTCTCTGCCATTCGTTGCATTGTTCTAAAATGTTACGTAGGGTGAAGATGTGATCAGTTGTTCCTCTGCCCTTTCTGAATCCTGCTTGTTCCACTCGTAGGCATTTATCTACTCCTTTTTCAAGCCGCATTATGATGATTTTACAAAATATTTTGCTTGGTACTGAGAGTAAAGTAATTCCCCTCCAATTATTGCGGTCTGTAAAATCTCATTTTTGGGGGATTTGGACTATTGTTCCTTCAGTCCAGTCATCAGGCAATACTTCATTTTTCCAAATATCCTTGAACAATTTGTTCTAGAATGTTAGCAGTTGTGTTAGGATTTACTTTGAGAAGTTCTGTTGGCAGTTCGTCTTTGCCTGGTGCTTTGTTGTTCTTTAAAGTGTGGTTAGCTTTAAGGATTTATTTCTTTGGTTGTGAAAGATTAATTTTCCATATTATAAACTTCATTTTGTTTATATTTAACATAGAAAAATTCATTTAGTAATTTAGAATGAGAAAATGTCTTTTATTTCAATGCTGAAATAATTTGTTAAGCATTTTGGAAATAATTCGCCATATGGTCTTTTATTTTAATGATGAAATAATTCGTTTAATAGTAAGGAAATAATTTAACATATTGCCCCCCCCCCCTCCCCCTTTTTTCCCCTCTTTTCTTTTGATAATATAGTATTTTTTATTTTGGTAATATGAAAATAATTTAATGTATAGTATTTTTTTCATTGAAATAAATTGTGTATTAACATAGAAATAATGCAACGAATAGTCTTTAAATTTAATATTAAATAATATATGTAGTAGTCTATAGATAGTTCATCATATAATATAAATAGCATAGTATGTAGATTTTGAAAATCGATATTGCAATAATTCTTTTTAACAAACTTGAAATAATAACCTAACATATCCTGTAATATTCGCCCGGCTGTCTAGCGTAGTTGGCTAAACCGTAATGCGCGGAGACAGGGTGACGAACTCCTTGTGGTCCTGGTTCACTCCCCGGGGTAGGCAGGAAAGCCACATTTCTCCGAGATTTACGGTATTTAAAATGGTATCAAGGCCGAAAGGATGCGATATCCATAATACTGAGCCTAAGGGTTAACAACTCATGGCTTCTGGATACTAAAACAAACATCCTTTAATATTCGTATTGGAATAATCATGTAGTAATCGGAAAATGAAGCACCCAAAATTAAATGCGTTAATATCTGAAGCAAGCTTATAAATGTGTCAAATTATTATATAGTGAGTACTTCTGGTGTGTAAATAAAACTTCATTCTAGTTAATGAGCATTAACAACCGTATGCAACACGAATATTATCACTACATCGTTGAGACGGATTGCACGAAACTGAAATTTATACTCACACAAATCCTCAGAGTCCAACTGAAGATCAGCTAAGAGCTACTAAAAAGATTTAAATTTTCCAGATGGTTGGTCACACATGAACTATCTTTCACCTAACAACGTCTAATGCGGCGTGCTTGACTTCTGATTATTAGTATTAAGTCCCGTGACACCTCTTTGTCGGTCGCTAAGTCTTATTTACAATTACTGGCCAAAGAGACACCAGTGTAAAAGTCAGGCTTGTCTTTTATCGGGACGTTCTGGTTTTCTACACAGCGTAGCACAAAAGATGAGTGGTTGGAAGAAAAGAGGGAGGGTCTTCGGGTTTATTGTGTTTGTGGCTCCTGGTAGCCTGCGCCCATCCATGGAGTGAAGACTGCAGCATGAACTAGTACCACCTGTACTAGGTGATAATAAGTTGAAGTAGGTTGACAGACTCGGCGTCTGAGGTTTAGGCGTTGCGAACGCGCTTGGTAATGCCGGAGTGCCAGATTCCATCCCAGCTGCGGACAAGTTATCTTGCGTTGGTTTCAACAGTGATACCGAAAGCTGGCTATTCAGCAAACAATGGCAAACTAATGAACGTAAACTTTGCCTATAAAAACCACAACAGCAAAAATATGAGGCAAATCTAGAGAGAGAAAATTTTAGAAATACGAGAAGAGTCTGTCGTTTGGATTCCCCCCCCCCCCCCAACCGCCTCTGTCTGTCTGTCTGTCTGTCTGCTTGTCTGTCTGTCTGTCTGTCTGTCTGTCTGTCTG